GTGAGTTCGAGGCCAGCCTGGGCTACCAAGTGAGTTCCAGGAAAGGCGCAAAGCTACACAGAGAAACCCTGTCTCGAAAAAAACAAAAAACAAAACAAACAAACAAAAAAAGATATAAAGTGACACATTGACTTTGTAATTTAGGTATTAAAAGCACCCAGAGTCTGACCCTAGGTGTCTTGACTCACTTGGAAGGCTCAGGCAGGAGGATAGTCCCAACTTCAAGGCCACCCTGAGCTGCATGGAAAGATCTTGTCTGAAAGAAAGAAAAACAGAAAGGAAGGCAGATGCATATTGTAGTGCGAATTCTAAATGGTCTTAATAATAAAAACCCAGAGTCAGATATCAGGGTGAATGCTGAAAGATCAGAGGGACAAAGGAGCAAGCCACAGCCACTTCTTCCCTCTAGGAATCCTCGGACTGAAAAGGGCACTGAGCTCCTGTCTCCTCCTATCATATCACTTCCTCTCTCTACTCACTAGTCGATGGATTAATAATGTCTGCCACTGGTGCAGGGAACCACAGTGGCTGGTCTGCCATGAACTGTCAGGTTTTTACCCTATATATAGGGAAAGTGGGGCTCACCTGAAGTCAGGGTTGGTTCCCCGCATCCCTGATACTGTTCTCAAAACAGTGCCAGAGTTCTTAAAACTGGCAGAGTCTAAGCATAGAATAGCAACAATAGTTCTCTTGAGGATCTTTGAGAAACTGTTTCGATAGCATAGAAGTGGTTTTGGATACAACACAGAATGGTGAAATTCACTTTATGTTGACTCAAGTATTTAACATTTTGTTCTGTTTGGGGACCTTACCACACTGGGGATTTTTCCAGTGATGGACAGACTCTGGCACAAGTCCCCCCCCCCCAACACACACTTTGACCCAAAGGGGACAGAGCACACACCCAGTATAGGGATCCCCATAGTCATAGGCTATCCTAAGGAACTACAAGCAACATCAAAGCTGGGTTCTTTCAGCCACTTTGACCAGGTGGTTGATGGAAGTTGGACCATTGTCATAGGAGCAGGAAATAAAATCTGAAGTGATGACTTCCACCTGTGCTCGGTCAGACCTAACCAGAAAAGTGAGCAGGGGGGTGGGTTTTGGGGGGCTTAAAGGCAGCTGCCCCCTGAGGCAGGATGTGTGGTTTATAACACTGTTAGTGTTCATGGCCCCACTATAGAAAGGGCTTGACTAATCTATTTGAGCATCCTCGGTCTCCAAGTCTCAAGTGCAGCTGACAGCTCTGGATGCTGTAGACCTGTCCCCTCGGCTCCAATGTAGGTAAGCTAAGAACGTGTGAGAAAAGGCAGCACAGCTTCCCCCACACCGTGAGGCTTCCAACCCAGTGTGCGTGCCCCGGTGTAAGCCAAGAACAGGGCCAGAACTGGGCACAACTCTCTAGAATTGTTGTGTTACCAAGCAGAAAGGTGTCTCTGGGAAGATGGCCCCACTTTTAGCGGGGCCCTGGTTAAGTTGGGAGTTTGACTTTTAGACTCAGAAGTCAGATTCAGAACAGTGAGGGTTCAGTGGCCCACCACTGTTGGCTTGAAGATTAGCTGAGCTCTATGGGGTAGGAGGCTCTGGGGCTGGGTAACAGCCATACTGACGAGCCAAAGACATCAATCCTCCATACCCAGGACTGAATGATAAGTGTGAGCTTAGATTTGCCACCTTGGGGGGGGGGGCAGCAAAGGCCCAGCTTAACGCATGAATCTCTGTTCAGATTAGAGAGGACCCTCAGTTAGTCTTTAAGACTAGAATATTGCTGGTCCGGTGGTGGCACATACCTTTAATCCCAGCACTCGGGAGGCAGAGCCAGGCGGATCTCTGTGAGTTCGAGGCAAGCCTGGTCTACAGAGCGAGATCCAGGAAAGGCGCAAAGCTACACAGAGAAACCCTGTCTCAAAAAAAAAAAAAAAAAAAAAAAGACCAGAATTATCTACTTTGGTCTGTAGTCACTGAGGTTTATCACTTAGAGACTCTTGACTGCTTGGGAGAGCCCCACTGAGTGAAGTTCCCCACCACTGATGCCAGTTCCTCCCATTGGATGAACCTGAGGCTGTGGTGATGTTTTGATTGCGCTCTAACAAATAAACCATGCCTGGAGCTCAGAGGGCAGAGCGAGCCACTAGTTAACCATTGAGGCCAGGCAGTGGTGCCGCACACCTTTAATCCCAGCACTTGGGAGGAGGAAGCAGGAAGATCAGGAGTTCAAGGTCACCCTGGGCTAGGCGAGACTGAATCTGTCTAAAAGAGAAACAGAGCCAGGTGGTGGAGGCTCACGCCTTTGATCCCAGAACTTGGGATCTCATTGCCTTTGATATCAGCACTTGGGAGGTGGAGACAGGAAGTGATATGGCAGGGTGGAGAGAGGAATATAAGGTGGGAGGAGACAGGAGCTCAGCCCCTTTTTGGCTGAGGGGTTGGCGAGGTAAGAACTATCTGGTGGCCGGCTGCTCTGCTTCTCTGATCTTTCAGCCTTTACCCCGGTATCTGGCTCTGGGGTTTTATTAAGACCAATTAGAGTTCTAGGCATATAATTCCCGCACTCAGGAGGGGAAGGCAGGAAAATCAGGAGTTAGTTTAAGGTCAGCCTCAGCTGCACAGTAGGGTCAAAGCTAAGCCTGTGCTACATGAGACCCTGTCTAAGAAAAAAAA